CTTTCAGTTGAAATTTGGGGTAAATATCAATATGATGTACGATTTAGCTGCTATTTTATGGATTACCAACTTACCATGTAACTTTACAGTGTCAATGGATGAAAGACAGGCGATGTAACGAACGAAGCTGTGGAGCAGGCTATCGCTGTATAACGACTACTCGTGACTGTAGCCGATATAGTCATTATAAAGTGGGATGTACAGGTACATGTAATGTCTCGTATCTTGCAGCGAATGATGTCAGTATTAGTAATATTTTAAATAAAGAGAAAATAGTGAACTAAAGTTACAATTATACATATAGCAATGCTAGTAAACTATAGATACTTATATTTAATATGAAACATTCCCGCATTTGCAAGCTGACTATCTTGCATGTAATACTGAGTGTACAATGTTTATTATTTCTTCGTAAGACCAGCGATCAGATCAGATCGGGGTTGGTGGGGGGGGGGGGGGGGGGGTATGCCTTGGATAGGTTAATAGTGTCTGCGGTAGAGCCAAGTGAAATTCAGATAAATATCTTTTAGTCAGTATAATATATAAAAGGAAATGATAGTTTCTTTAGATGATAACCTTTTAAATCGAAATTCTTTAGTATGGTGACTAATTCAACGGAAATCGTTTTCGCTGAATTACACCCATGAAAACACATTTAAGGAGTAACGACTGAAAAATATCTAATTATTTCTGGAGGGTCATGGTAAACACGGTCTAATAAACATTGTTACGTCGCAATTTTTCCAACTTGTTGTACCTATGCAGGAGATAGGAACAAGGATATATTGGCATATTTGGGGGACAGACACATTACGTTTGCAATGAAATTTAAAGCAACCGAGAAAAATGTCGATTTTAAAAACTATTTTAACGATATAATATATCTTGGATATGGGCTGGCCCATAACAATTCCTGAAAAGAGGACAGATATAATGTATCATGTTTGATGTCTGGGGAGGGAGGGGGAGATATTTTTTTTAAATAGAGACATATGCTTTGAAATATATTTTTTAAATATATAGTTTACTGTAAGTGTTCATATTTTTGATAGGAAAGCAGAATGCTCAACAATAATCTTTGTAATTTTTGTTTAATTTTAATACGGGTTTGGTCTGTTTGAGATATGATTAAAAAGTAAAATCTGCTCTTCGTTCTCTTGAGAAGCAAATCCGAATTACTCCGATTCTGCATCTTATGTTCAATAAAACACAATTTCAATTGAATGTTTCTGTATTTTACTCATGTAAGAATGACACTAGCTAGAAGCACTTTGTGCTAATCATGCTAAAAGAGTTGTTTTTAATTCAACTTTTAAGATCAAAATTATTGCGATTCAGAAAATCTGTTTACAGCCCAAAATGACCTTATGACCTTATGCGCAATCTTATTTACCCTCCACCCCCACATTTTAAAACGTTTAATATAAATTAACATTCATGTTATTTACATGAAGGTATACAATTGCATGGTAATGAAAATGAATTCAAAATAATTGAAACTGAATTTTCTTTTATTTATTGGTAAAATATATATAATTTTCCATGTACTTAAATTTCCTTTCCGCATCAAAGATAAGAATTATCTTTATATAATTCTAAGGCATTTTGTAGACATGCAATGCATAAATCTTTTCAAATTTGACAAGTAAATTATATATGACAACTAAATTATTAGTTGCATATATATATAGACATAGATGAGTGTGCCAGTAATCCATGTCATCACGAAGGAACATGCCACAATTTATGGGACAGATTTACTTGTTCTTGTCCAGATGAGTATTATGGAACACAATGCGAAAACAGTAAGTGTATTTCATGTTCTTTTTCGAATCATTTTGGTATTAATACAGGTAATAGAAATCTGGGGTACGAAATATTTTTTCAATGTCTTCAAGAGAATATTAAAAGCAAAGAAAAAGGACGTTTTTTTAAAGAACTACAACTGTACATCGTTTATTATTTTACGTATAACTGCTTTGATTTTTTTAATCGACGTTATCAATTGGCAGTCTTAAACTTGGGTCATGTGTAACATGGTTTCGGCATACATGTATATATTATTGCTTAGGCCCCTACCATAGTTTACCATGGTATTTGCTATTGTTAAGCTCAAGCTTAATTTCACAATCCATCATTACATGAGAAAATCTTCAGTGGATGTAAATATATTTCATTTCCAGCAGTGAACTACTATTGAATTAACTGATATTTTAAGGTGTCATTTCACACTATTAAAAAAGAGTGTTAATTTCACAATGTGAAAATAACAACCGTAAGTACTTTTTTCCAATTCCCAAAGTTTTCAACTTGTTCAGACTTACTGTTCATGAGATTTTTTTTTATTTTCTCCCCATTCTTATGGACCTATCTTCACCGCGTAGTATTTTTATGAAGTACAAAAGAGACAGCAATCAAGGGTAAAAGTTTAACCCAAGAAAATATAATGAATAGAAAAAATAATGTTCTGCAGATATGGAATTGATTTTACTTGTGAGGCAGGGTATTTCAACATTTTCTCTCGTGCTTTGCACTCCTGAAAATATTTAGAATATATCTAAATATATATACATGTATATATCTTTAAATCTTGTCCCATTTGTGAAATAAATTCCATGTAACAAAACATTGAATATCCTCTATTCAAATATCTGTGTGTTGATTTCTAGCATTGTTATACCTAATAGGACGTCGTCATTAAAATGCTGATAATTCATGTTAGGACAATGGAAATTAATGTAAATATTATATAAATATGGTATTAAGATCATCGAAGATTGATATATATTATGTTCCTGTAACACCATTTTAGTAATGGTGGTACTGAATTATCTTACACATAGAATACCTGAAATCCAGAATTTTGCACAACATTCTTCATTTCGATGCATAGAATTTAGAATCTTGAGAAACCTAGATTTTACTTCATTTCTTATTTTCAAAACATATTTTAAGCTCACCTGAGCCGGAGGCTGATCAAAATTTGTCCATTGTCGTCGTTGGTGTCGTCGTAAAATTTCATAATTAATATTTCGACTTCTTCTCAAGAACCACTGGGCCAAATTCAACCAAACTTGCCATAAGCATCCTTGGGTGATTGGAATTCAGGTTTTTTTTTTCAAATGGAGGGCCAAGCCCTCTTTCGTGGAGAGATACATCTTATTGAGAATTAGTGAAAATTAATGGCATCTTGTAAAAATCTTCGCAGGAACCACTAGGCCAGAAAAGAAGGAATTATGTGCAAGTTTTATTACATAGTGTGGATGTGGATTCATTTATTTAAATCAAGACCCTTGGGGTAGGATTGGACCGCAATGGGAAATAAAAGTTTTACAAGGGAATACAAAGAATAAAAAAACCTTTAAAAATCTTCTCAAGAACAGAAAATCCTATAATAAGTTAGTTATATTAATATGGAAGCACCCTAAGGTAGTGTAGATTCAAATTCCTTCAAACCATGATCACCCGAGGGTGGAGTGGGATCACAATGGGCGATCAAAGTTTTACAAGGGGATACATAAGAAAAATATTCAAAAATCGTCTTCTCAAGAACAGCAAAGCCATGATTAGTCATATTGATATGGAAACATCCTAAGGTAGAGTAGATTGAAGTTTGTTCAAATCGTAACCTCAGGGTTGTTAGGATTGGGCCACAATGGGCTATCAAAGTTTTACACAGGAAATCATAGAAAAGTATTTTAAAAATCTTTATCTCTAGAACAGCAAGGTCATGATTAGTTACATTTATATGGACGCATCCTCGAGTAGAGTAGATTGAAATTTGTTCAAATCAAGAACCCCCGGGGTAGTGGAGGTACAGTGGGTAAAGTTTTACAAAAACGTACATTGGAAGAAATCTTTACAAATCTTTCTACTCAAAAAGAGCAAAGCGATGATTTGTTATATTGATAAGAAAAAATCCACAGTTGTGTAGATTCAAGTTTGTTCAAATCATGACCGCAGGGGGTGGGGTGGGATGGGGTGGGGTGGGACCCAATGTGTGATCAAAGTTTTACAAGGGAATACATAAGAAAAATCTTTGAAAATCATTTCTCAAGAACAATAACTTAAAGACCATGATTAGTCGTATTCATACGGAAACATCCTCAGGTAGTGCACATTCAAATTTGCTCAATTCATGACCACCGACGGTGTATATTTAGAAGATAAACTAAGTGTATGGTAATGATGAGCAAGGTGAATTATGAATTTCATGGCCCGTAGGCAGGGGGTTCTAGAGTTAGGGCGGGGCTCTTATGATTATATAGTGAAATTTTATTAACTCTTAGAAAAAGGGTGGTTGATTATACAGTGAAGATTCATTTAGTGTATAAGTACTGGCAAGTGCAAGCATAAATAGATCTGCTTAATGAGTTGTTACCGAGTACTAAACTTACTATTTTGCTGATTCCTGTTCATCATATTTCTTTTGATTTTGAGCAATATATCTTCATCTATCTGTTTTTGTGTTATTTTCTACTTGTATAGATCCTTTGCTGTGTTTATTTTACTCCGGTGAACGTTAAGGCCCTTGGTCCTCTTGTTTACTTTAATGAACTAAAATATTAATTTATTATATATTAATATAATTAGCATGTACAAAGCCAGAGAATTGTCAGCATCAGAGATGTAGCACTCGAGATAACTACATTTGTACCAAGTGTATTAATCAGGGAACAGATCGAAAACATTCGATCTATTTTGTGTCCCCAAACAGTAAAAAATGTGAAGGTATGTCTTTAACAATATTTCAAGAAATGAAAAAAGACATATTTTATAAAGGATCTACGATTATTGTGAAAATGAGAGTTTGATAAAATAATTGACAGAACATCATTACATACTGGCTACAATCAAAGATCTTCCAAAATGTTTACTATTTTAAACTTCCGGAAATTGTATTGCAACAAATAAGAATACTTATGCTTTGAAAAAATAGCTACATGTTCCTGGAAACAAAACTGGTGTTGGCCCGGTACGTGTGGTGAAAACCTTGCCAAGAATTGTGTCTGTAGTAGTGGGTTTTACTTGTCATCAAGAGACTCACACAAAGTCTGTAATCGTATGTATTGGAACAATGACCTTTTATCAATAAATATTTATATATTCAAAGAAATAAAAAATTTTATAAAATTCTCAAAATGCATTATTATAGTTACATCTTAATGTCAGACAATATAAAGTTTCGCATTGACAAATCAGTAACATTATATAAATAGTGCACGTTTTTGAGGGTAACAGTTGAAATTGACACCCCAAGGAAAACCATTGTCAACCGACGCGTCAGCGGAGGTTGACAATGGTTTTCCGAGGGGTGTCAATTTCAACTGTTACCCTCAAAAACGTGCACTATTTATTTTATTATACTGAATGTCTTATTGATTTCGGATGTTATTAAAAAATTCGGAGATCGTCGTTAACTTCACGCTTAGAAAGCTTTCAAACTCCCCACTTCTATTTTTCTCAATAGGAAAGCTTCGTAAAAGATTTACCAACCTCTTTATTATTTGTTTGCTACTCAAAAAGTCCTTTATCACCTAAAGTTTGCACTCGCAAGGATGTTTCGTCTGTCGTTTGTCTTTTTCAAGTAAGCCACATCGGACGCAAGCTTTTATTGACGTCGTTTATTCGGCTTCTTTCAAACGCACAACCGACGTTTTGAGAATTCTACGGTGAACCGTACGCGCATGATTTGAACGCATGTGATATTTTCGTAATGTTACCCTTTGTCAAGTGTGTTGCTAACGCTGAGGGTAATATTACGGATTGTTAAACGTGTCTAAACCAATCAGATTTTAGTATTTAACATGAAAGTATAATAAAAGCAAATACTATTAAAATTGATATCTACTGCTTTAACTCACATCATTATCGTATATCATATTTTTTCCAGTAAATATTGCACCAGATTTGGAAACCTGCCGACTGGGCGTACAAAATAGTGGAGGTGAAGCACGTAATTCAACATCAAAAGGACCATGCCTCCAGGAGAAATACAACTATATGAAGTTTCAACCGAAGTATTCATCTGTTGAGTTTACATTCGGAAGCACAATAAATGTTTCAGCAAATATTCCAGACCATATTTCAGAATACCAATTCGGTATCGTTAACTCAACGATTTTAGTTTCAACAAGAAATATCAATGGTAAACATTGCTGTCTTTCCTTAAATTAATTTTTTTTTTAAATTGATACATTTATGTCTCTATGAATTCTTTACAAAAAATTCTGTTATACATGTAATGTCAAGATGAAACAAGAGGCCCATGGGCCACATCGCTCACCTGAGTAACTTTGGCCATGCTGTTCTTTACCAGATTTCCCCTTTGTAATACCTATTGTGGCCCCGCCCTACCCCCGGGGGTCATGATTTGAAAATTTAGAATCTACACTACCCCAGGATGCTTCCACATAAGTTTCAGCTATTCTGGTCCAGTGGTTCTTGAGAAGATTTTTAAAGATTTTTCCTATATATTTCAATGTAAAACTTGGATACCCTATTGTGGCCCAGCCCTACCCCCGGGGGTCATGATTTGAACAATTTAGAATCTACACTACCTCAGGATGCTTCCACATAAGTTTCAGCTTTTCTGGCCCAGTGGTTCTTGAGGAGAAGATTTTTAAAGATTTTCCCTATATATTTCAATGTAAAACTTGGATTCCCTATCGTGGCCCCATCCTACCCCCGGGGGTCATGATTTAAACAATTTAGAATCTACACTACCCCAGGATGCTTCCACATAAGTTTCAGCTAATTTGTTCCTGAGAAGAAGATTTTTTTTAATGACCCCACCCTATTTTTGTCTTTTCCTGATTATCTCCCCTTGTAAAGGGACTTGGCCCTCTATTTTAACAATTTAAACTCCCCTTCACCAAAGAATACTTTGTACCAAGTTTGGTTAAAATCGGCCCAGTGGTTCTTGAGAAGAAGTTAAAAATGTGAAAAGTTTACAGACGGACGGACAGACAGACGGACGGACGGACGACGGACAACGGGTGATCAGAAAAGCTCAGGTGAGCTAAAAAGTTATGAAAATTCATATTGAATAATACATGTATGAGGTAACATATTATTTATTTCTCAAAAGGACATCAACACAACCATAAGTATTTAAATCTCAAGCAGACTAACAGTTGCTCCAGAAATAATTTTACCGACACAAATCCCATATCAACCATAAATACCTGTAAAATGACTATTGAAACACCATGGATAATACAGGATGGGGAACAGTAAGTAATTGAGCTTGTAGTCACATCAAATCAATATGGATATATCGTTATATATTTAGAGAGAGAGAGAGAATTACAATTCTTATTGCCAAATGAAAGGCATATTATAAAATCTGACTATCATCAAATGGACTGGTCTAAATTTAATTTAATCTAAATTTTGCCCTGGCATTAAAAGGTAACCGAGTCGTAATCTGACCGCTTTTTATATTTCGTGGACTCGGCCGAAAATTCCTTGTAGAATTGTCATGATTTCATTGTTACTTTTTACATTGATCTTAACTAGGAAAGTTTTTAAGACCGTTATGCTCAGTTCTCCCCCCACCCCACTTCCCCCACTGAAACACTACAATACAATCAACTACAATAGTTCTTACATATCGAATGGACTCTTTAAGCAGATATATTGTTACTTAGAAAAGGAAAGTTAACGATAGAAAACATGAAGTCATCACGTTTATCATGAAATTTAGTTATTAATTTGCCATCATTTAATATCATTCTACAGAAAAACTTCCAAATATGAAACAGATATGTCAAACTCTAAGGTGGCTTTTATTTCGAGTTTAGTGGGATATATCAAATCAACATACACGTAGGAATGAAAAGCAATATTGTTTTGATAAAACGTCGATTTTTTGACATGTCGAATTGAAGGCCACAGAAGGAGACTTCTTGTTTTCATGTAAATTTATGGAAGCCCATTACGGAAGCGTGTAGGTCTCTACACTGTGTTACAACTTGTACATTGTCTTATTAAAACTTATAAAGTGTTATAACTCCCTATTTATACACATATTTTAAATTTTATCTAGATTTTTGAACATATTTTCAGGTACCTTCTATTATTCGATTGATTCTATTGCTATAAGTTATCGACTTAAAAAACATTGATTTGAAAATATTGGTCAAAGGAAGAGATTTAATCATAACAACGTGATAAAGTCAATATGTAAAAAAAAAATATAGAATTATTTCAATATCAATATATTTTTTTTTTCGGGGGGGGGGGATATTGTTACTGATTTTACTTTATCTTTAGTTAAACATTCCCATTATGAACAGAATATTAGGCCCATAAACAGGAAGAATCAAAACTCCACACAGACACTGTAGTATTTGTGAATCAGTATCTCTAAAATTAAATAAAAAACAAATGATAGAACTGCTTTAAGATATGTGGGAGGGATATATTAAATAAGTAATATACAAAATATAAAAAAAAAATTGAATGATATTTTTTTTTCAGCTCAAGGTCCTTCTTCCCCTTAAGGAAGCTCTAAACACTAACAAAAAGTGCTTTTTGGGCTTGGAGATAAATATATCATATAAAGGTGTGCATATTGAGACTATTTAGTTCATTTTCAACATAGGGTACCTGCCTTATTTCTGCAGGAAAAATGTTCAAAGACAATGGACTATTCATGAACAGAAATCACTGTTGTTTACTTATAGTGGGAAAATCAATGGAAATAATGACTTTAATTACTTATTCTTGTTCTAATATAATGCTAAGAATATCTTAATCTATAATAAATTGTGTAATTAACAGTAAATAACCATTTTTTCTATCGTACTTTTAAGGGCAGATCCCTCTGAATGCCTAAAACTACCATACAAGTAGAACTCTTTAGTGTGCAGTGTTTAGAGCTTCCTTGACAAATTTGAAAGATCGTTTTATCGAAGTCGAAAATATTTTTGATAGGTCTTAAATGGGTTTCCGTAGAAATATGACCATTTTTTTTTATCAATTCGTAAAAAGAAATTGAATGAATTTAAAATAATGAATTTTGAAATTCGTTAATTCAAATTAAATTCGATAAAATAAATTTAAGAATCTCTCAATATTTTAAAGAACACATGAGTAAATATATATTCTGTTTTAAACAGGCTTTGTATGGAGTTCATAGCATATGGTGGTGGCTACCTAATCACAAAGGATTTCTATGGAAATCCCTCACCTCCACATATCTATCGTACTTCACAGTCGTCATATGAAGTGTGTATGAGACGAGACTCTTCGGCTCCGAAACACTGTTTAGAAGATAATTCTTGCACAAATAATGAACTTATTCTCTTTGAAAACCGAATTACAAAATCGGCAGACATAGATATAACACTAAAAGGCTGGTTTGATCCTTATCTCAACGCTCCTGAAGAAGCCTCTGGAATTCAAAGTTACTCAATTACAATACATGATATGAAAGAAGTGGATGAATCAACACTTTCGATGGACGAAAGCAGTATATCAACATTGAATATTTCAAGTGACGTTGATTCTATTCAGCTGCCTGATAAGCAACCTGCACTGTACGGCGTTTCACTGAATATTCTTGACAATGCTGGTAACTTCAAACAAGCAAGACGATTTGTTTTGTTTGATAATTCATCAAAGATTCTTATCAATGCGGGGAACAAACTTAAAGTATATACCGGGAATAAAGCGACAAACTTTACATGGCAGACAAATCATGGAAAAATCTGTGTACACTGGGCTGAGCGATATTACAATTCTTTTCATGTTCACCATAATTTGCTAAGACAAATAAAAGCTGATTACCACAATCTTTATAATGGAGTTTATGAACAGTACAATGGCCAGCTTCCAGTGAAAGGGACGCCAAATCTTCATGGAATTCTTGAATTTCGTTACGTTTTTGCAATTAACAGTAGAGTGTTGGATAATAAAACTGCTCCAAATTTCCTCAACCAGTCGGTTTGTGAAAAATACAGCCTAAGGGATGGGGAAACATATGATGTCACCATCATTCCGAGAGATGTAATGAACAATACAGTTAGGGAAACCATAGCGGTTCATATCGATGCAAGCGTACCTGACATTGTCGAGATGTACTTGATAAAAGATGGGATGCGTCATCTGTTCGTTCACAATTCCTCGGATCTTTCGAGAATGACGATATCCTTTAAAGCTTTAGATGAACATAGTGGACTATATTCTATTGAGTGGATGCTGGGTACATCTCCTGATGGCGGGGAGTTAGGCAGGGGTTCCATGGCAGTAAATCGTCTTGAACCCGGGGTAAGTTTGATGTGTGAAGTAGTAGGACTTATGACTAATTGCAATGGTTCTTGTATGATGCTTTATTAAAATCCTTGTAATGTTTTCTAGGAAACCTGTAATCATGTGGATAATTGCTATTGTCCAAAAGTAGGAGTCTGTGAGAAAGCCATGTACAGCGTCAAATTCAATAGCTTGATCAAGAATAATAAACAGAAGGGACACCACAACCGGGGGTACTTCTTTACAGTGAAAGTAACTAACAATGCTATGTTGGTAAGTATTTCTAGGACGGATATCTTAGCGGACGATTCCCCTCCCGCAAGTGGAATTGCAATGGAAGGAGAAACTGGATCCCAAGAAATGGATTATACTTGTAATAGAGAAATAATCGTAAGATGGAGTGGTTTTATTGATCATGAGAGCGGTATCAAAAAATATCGAGTGGGATTCGATGACAAGTGTCTGTCAAGAGAAGGGTTACTACATAATAATCATACTACCCTTCCAGGATTTATTTACGAAACCAATAAGGAGCAAATCAAAGTACTTGCTCCATACCCGGGTCTGTATTTTACAAGTGTAATTGCTTACAATTATGCTCTAGAAGCTTCAGAGGTGGTATGCTCAAACGGTATTACATACGACATCTCTCCACCAAAGTTGTATAATATAATTTTAGAGGAAGCCAAAACAACAGAAGGTATTGCATGCTACAACAGAACTGCTTGGTTAATACTCCAAAATTTCACCGCCGTCAAATTAGATATGACGCAAGCTTGCCGGAAAATATGCAACGACAGCAGTAACGAATTTCCGCTTTTGGAAAATATGCTCTACGTAAAGCAAGAACATTCCCAAGGTACATCCTATGCGGATTCAATATGTAAGAAATTAGGTGCATATGACAAAAACATGAAAACGTATATTCCCTCTGACACAATTTCTGTGTCTTGGAATGTCACTGACTTGGAATCACAAATACTTGACACCAAGATCGGTTTTGCTTCTACTAGATCGCAATCTGCAACACCAGACATTCTATCATTTACACCCACTAAGCGTTTGCAGAGCGATAAACGATTGCATTCTGCTCTTGACTCAGGGATTCCCTTTTTTATTACAATAAAAGCGACAAGTAAAGCTGGCTTGGAAACATCTGCAACAATAGGTCCTGTGGTAATTGACGACACACCGCCCTTGTACAGAGGCAATGTCAACATTGTTTTGAATGACAAGTTTGCATTTGTAGTATGGACCAATGAGACATTCGTTGACGAAGAACAGGACGAGCCATTATCAACTGTCTTATTCAAAATAGGTTTGTTTTTTACTAAGTTGCATGGCTATAAACTTTACTAACCTTTATTTATGCTTTTTTAACTATTTTTATTTTTATCTTAAATTTTAGGTCAAGGATCCACTTTTAAATCCCCACTATTACAAGGTTACCTTTTCAACAGCTGTCCAAATTTTGATAATAATCACTTTTGCATAAAGTATCCAGTAAGAAGAATCCAGCAATTAGATGAAAACAACACGGTATTCTTTTTTGAACTGTACGTTTACAATTCTGTTGGTCATGTAACAATAGTCAGAACAGATGAATTCAGTGTCCCCTCGCAGTATCCCCCGACAACAGGAACGGTTCTTGAAATTAGTAATCATTTTCCTGGACTAGGAGATACTGATTATATAGCAAGCGATGACTCAATCTGTATAGCTCTCTCTGGGTTTAAACACATTGAAACTGTTTCATTTGAAGTGGCTTTTAGCACTAATTTAACCGATGATTTAATGCCATTTCAAACTCTGCCAAGTACCAAATGTTTTTATAACATCAGTTTGCCCGAAAACACAAAAATTTACACACTAATTAAAGCAACATCTTCTGGTGGCAGTACTATCTCATCTTCCGATGGATTTTTCCTTATCAATAAATCAAAAGCTGCACACTCAATTATTGTACATGATGGGATATCATGCAATTCTGTCGTACCTGACTTTCAGTTAACAGCTAGTCTACATGGCCAAATGACAGAGATTTCAGTGAAGAAAAAAAGCTTACTGACTGGAAAATCATTCACACTTCAGATATCTGGAACTGAACCAAACTTGTATGAAATAAGTTCAGAAGATGTAATTTGGACTGGAAATTCACATTTTTCAGAAAATATGCTGACAAAATCGTTTGTGCCTATGATTGAACATCCAAGATTTTTAGTCACGTTTCGGAAAATTCTTAACACCACCTTACTTTTTAAGATAATTGACTGTCATGAAGATGCGAAATTTCAAATCAATTCGAAAGCGTACATGGCGTACTGGTCCACCAAAAGTCCGTACAAAGACTTAATAACCCACTTTAGAACTGGATTACTTGTACAAAGAGGTACTACAGAGAACTTTATTTTTCCACTGCAAACAACAATTAGTCGCGAAAGAGCAAGGTTTAGCGATGTATTTCTAGAGAATGGACTGACCTACAGGGCTATCATAGAAGCATGCTTTGAAAGACTCTGTATCGAGCCTCTAAAATCAAATGGATCGAGAATGCAGCATGAAACTAAAGCGCTGAGCAAAATTCATTCGTTGCTAAAAAAATCCAATGATGACTTATTTGAATTAATATTACATTTTGATGGATATCAATGCAGTGACAAATCCTATTCAGCTGGTTATGCAGTAGCTATAGTTGACAAGAGAGGAGCTGAAATATCAAAATGGGAGCCAATAAAAATTGAAACAAATATGAAGAACATTTCTGTGAGTATTTCCATAGCTTGTAACATTTTTTTTAATTTTTAAGCTCACCTGAGCCGAAGGCTCAAGTGAGTTTTTCTGATCAAAATTTGTCCTATGTCTGTCGTCGTCGTTGTCGTAGTTGTCGTTATTAACTTTTTACATCTTTTTCTCAAGAACCACTGGGCCAATTAAACTTGGCACTGAGTATTCTTAGGTAAAAGGGATTCGAGTGTTTTCAAATGAAGGGCCACAGCATCTTTTAAGGGGAGATAATTAAAAAAGTAAAAATTGTGTGTGTTCATTTAAAAATCCTCTTCTCAAGAAGCAATATGCTATAAAAGATGAAACGTACTTGTAAACTTCCTGATAAAGTATAGATTCAAGTTTGTTCAAATCATGACCCTCGGGGATAAGGTGGGGCCACAATGGGCAATCAAAGTTTAACATGAGTGTATATAGGAAAAATCTTTAAGGCCTTGATCAGTCATATGTATAAGGAAGCTTTCATAGTTAATATAGCGCAGTGGTTAGAGCGTCTGCTCTAGAGTCGCGAAGTAAGGAGTTGATCCTTACGTCGCGGGTTCGAATCCCACTCTGGGACGTGGAGACTTGTCCTTCGGATGAGACCGTATAAACCGAGGTCCCGTGTCGCAGTAGGTGCTGGCACGAAAAAGATCCCTCACTGCTGATCATGGCTTTCCTGTTATTCATCAGATTTAAAAAAAAAAAAAAATATGGCCGTAAGTGCCGAGTATAGGACAAAATTTGCAGCTCTCCACCGGCAAGTGGTGGCGTCTCCATATGAGTGAAAAATTCTCGAGAGGGACGTTAAACAACATACAATCAATCATAGTTAATATAGATTCAAGTTTGTTCAAATCATGACCCCCCCCCCCCCCTCGAAGAGGGATTGGGTGGGGCCACTACAGGTGATCAAAGTTTTAAAATGATATAGATATTAAAGATCTTTAAAAATCCTCTCAAGAAAAGGAAATCTAGCATTTATCATATTTATATGGAAGCATCCTCAGTTAGTGTAGATTTAAGTTTGTTCAATTCATATTATGACCCCTGGGGGTAAGGTGGGGCTACAGTGGGGATCAAAGTCTTCCATAAGAATGCATAGAAAATATTTTTTTTAAAAATCTTATGAATAACAGGAAAGCCATGATCAGTCACATTTATATGTAAGCATCAACAGGTAGTGTATGTTCAGGTTTATTAAAATCATGACCCAGGGGGCAGGGTGAAGCCACTATGGGCAATCAAATTTTTACAGGAGTATATATAGGAAAAATTTGTAAAATCTTCTCAAGGACAGCAAAACCATGACCAGTCATATTTATGTGGAAACATCCATACATCCACAGGTAGTGTTTGTTCAAATCATGACCCCGGGGGGTAGAATGGGGCTACAATGGGTGATCAAGTTTTACATGGGAATTTGATATAAGAAAAAGAATCTACTGATGAATAACAAGAATGGCCATAGTAACTCAGGTGAGCGTTGTGGTCCAAGGACTTTTTGTTTAAATCATACTGTTGAAGTATCATTGAAATGCTAAAAATTCGTTTTTAAAGCTTTTGTTAGTACAAAAATGATTGAGGCATTTCTTTTCCTTCTAGACAAGCCTTGAAAACATTTCCCTCCCAGTGTACACGCAACACTCACTTTCAGTATGCGTAAGAGGGTTCTGTTTGTCAGGAAAGTCTGCAATGTCATGTCAACCGATAAAGGAAAAGGAAAATATGGGTGGTAATGATTTAAACAACGTTTACGAAATCAATGCAAACTCTCCAGACATGGAGGAAATAAAATCATTTGCTCACAGTCGTTACCTGGGGGATAAAATGAGGGTTTTACATGATAATGAAGTTGATTTTATCAAATCAGACTGGAGAATTAACGGCGTCCTCCTTGGTACATTTAATCGTAAGATCAGCTGGTATATTATGACAGAGAATCGCCTTCCCTTACATTCTTGTACGGATGATGTCGCTTGTATTCAAGAGATCGTCTCAGAAGATTGTATTGGTTATTTTAAACAAATACCATTTGAGAAGAACAAGAGATATTTTGTATGTGCTTTTGCAAACAAAACAATAGTCAAATATGAAAAATCTTTAGAACAAAAAAGCCAGATATCTGTTTGTGGTAATGGGTTCATCATAGATGATACATCACCAGTTCCGGGAAAAGTACAGATCCAAACAGATTTTGGGAACTTTTTGAATTTCAACAAATCTTTATCACTTATATGGGAAGGTTTTTCAGACATAGAGCGAGATTTGATAATGAAATACACCTCTGGAATAGAAAAGTACACATATAGCATTGGTAATCATTGTTTATAAAATACATTGATTCAAAATTGTTGCTTAAATTTCAAAGAATTTGATATATTAATAATTTAAAATGGAAATCCCTACTTATATATTTTAATAGGAACATACCCTGGTGGTGAGGATGTGGTATCATTTACTGACACTGGATTACTGACATCTGCTAATGTGCACAATATTTCATTCAGAAACCATATTACATACTATGCAACGGTTAGAGGTGTGTGAAAATATATCTTTGCAATCTATTCAGAGAATTAAAATATTGAACTCGGGGTCACATCAATTTTTAAAGTTTTTTTTAACCTTCTTTCATTAAAGCAATTGATCGTGTTGGACACATCACTGAAGTATCATCAGAAGGAGTCATGTATGACGACACTCCACCAGTACATGGAAGGGTATTTGTCGACGGATCAGGATTGCATGGATACATAACAAACTACAGAGACATAACCGTCACGTGGGAGGGATTCAGCGATCCAGAAAGTGGGATTAAGTCATTTCAAATAGGAATTGGCTCATCAAATCTCTCAGCAGATATTTTTCCATTGACAGAAGCTATGGATACTTTCTGGAAACCAATGAAGACCGAGGGGAAATTTATAGATGGATATGAATACTTTATTTTGTTAATGGTACGTACAAGGCAAAACAAAATTTTCAAACCCACATGTATAGTTTTTCTTTTATTTTTAACTTACGTCTTTCAACATATTTCATTCATTGTAGATAACTAACAACGCTGGATTATCCACCTTGGTCAGTTCATTGGCATTTGTTATTGACAGTAGTCCCCCACATGAAGGGTTTGTCGTAGATGGAAATGAAACAGGCGTAAGTCTTCTGTAGAAAGTTATTATGTGTTAGGGCTTTTCCGAATGGATCGAAATTTACTTACACATCATTATAATTGTAGATTGATATAGATTTTCAACGGAATATCACACACATATGTTCTAGATGGGATGGATTTCATGATCCTCATACAGAGCTAGCATATTATGAAATAGGCATAGGTACTACAAGAGACACAAATGATGTTTTCCCAGCTACATCTATTGGACTATTAAAAGGTGTCATGTACTTATAGAATCGATTGAAAATTATAATATTATCTATGGTTTCAATTCATGAATATAATATTTAGATCTTTAATACACAGAATATTGCTGGGCAAATGAGTTTATTCCGGGAGAAAAGTATTTCACCATTATAAGGGCATGCAATAAGGCAGGATTATGCACATCAAAATCCTCCAATGGGGTAACTCTAGATAATTCACCACCCATACCAGGACTTGTTCATGTGGGCATGAGTGACCGTCATCAACATTATATCAGTCAAAAGTTTGTAAAATTTACATTTTCTGAGAATAAATAAATTGCTCAATTTCAATTTCAAGGTTGTGAAATTAATTTCTACTTCTACTTTATAGGCATGTTGTATCCGCGCAGTGGATAGGGTTTCAAGACCCACATTCGGACATCGAACATTTTGAATTTTGTATAAGCAAGTCAAGAAATGATTGTGATATTACCGCTTTTGAAAATGTACTTCTTAGCGAACGTATAACAAAAACGTCAATCAATCTACCACAAAACACAAATTTATATGCAATAGTGAAAGCATACAATCGAGTGGGGTTGTACAGCCAACAGTCATCTGAGAAGTTCCGTGTGGATACTACACCACCGATAGAAGTGGCAAAACCTGTTTTTGATTCTGCTCAGTTTTCACATAAATCTGGAACACAATATGACGATTCCGTCTTAGTTGCCAATTGGAAGTTCATGGAAGAGGAGAGTTTTATTGCATCCAACGAAGTTGTATTAAAATCGCACAAAAACGGAAAGACCATAAGGGACATCAAAACGAATGGAAATGAAAATAATATCACAATTAAACTTGAAGACGAAATTGCTTTAAAAAGTGGAGACACGTATTACGTATTTATATCTAGTTGTAATGCAGCTGGACTGTGCACACATGCGTCATCCGATCCTCTTCTCATTGATTCGTCTCCCCCACAACTCGGTGGTTTTAAGAATCTCATGAAGTGGAAAAATCATGAAAATAAGACAACTGAGCTTCTGCTTTTGTGGCATGGTTTTTCAGATATCCATAGTGGAATAGAGAAATACGGTGTATTTGTCAGCGAATCCTATACAGGTTCAGAATTATCCAATGGACTTTTATATGCAGACCACTTAGACACTGAAATCCAAATGGTATCGCTTAACTTAACACGTCAATTGTCAGAAACTGATGAAATTATTTTGTCAGTTTACGCTCTGAATAAAGTGGGTCTTAGAAGTAAAATTGCTAAAACAACTGTCACATTAGTTGCAGATGATGTTTCATATGCAAGTGGGTTTCTAGAACTTCAACGTTATTTATGTCGATCACATACCTGTAATAACGATTGTACCTGTTCCGTAGTAGGATCCAGATGCCAAGATGAGTCTCAAAAGCCCAGTACCTGTAAAAGAAATGATAATCACGCAGGAATGTTTTCGGTTTTGTTTGGAAATACAATGTCCTTGACAAACTTGACTCTGTCGTCAAAATGTGTTTTTGCACACTGGAAAGTAAGAAACATAACAATGATTCAACGCTTTGAATGGAGCATTGGAATTCAGCATGAAGATCCAGGTGCAGGTGTCTTTGATAGTAGGACGGAAAGTGTCTGGCACGAAAACGGACAACTCACGAACATGACGTATTGCATTGAAAACGGAAAACATTTTAAGCATGGGGAATCATATGTCTTTCATGTTCGAAGTTGGATTTCGGAAGATACCTATTTTGAAAAACAATCAAATCCTCTTCTTGTTGATAGAACGCCTCCAATAATTCGACGAGGAAAATCAATTAAAGAAACTCTCATCTCTTGCATTGAAAATGATGTTGACTTTTTGAACTCGACATCAAATTTTCTTGTATGTTGGGAGGGCGTGTTTATAGAAAACGGAGCTCAGATTACGAAATATTCTGTATCATCAGGATCATCACCCTTTGGTATGCACGGGTATTTTTTATTTATTTCTTGCCTTTCACTTGAAATAATATATTCTTTCTTCAATTGTATAGAAAAGATAAAATGATTTTATTGTTATTTCAGGAAATGACCTAATCGATGATCAGAATGTAGGACTTAGAACATCCTTTCTAGTTGAAGGCAAGCTGCTGAGACCAGGTGTTACATTTTACTTTACAATAACATCGACAAACGAGCTTGGAATGAAAACATCATTTACCTCAGATGGAGTTCTGATAGATTTAGATAATCCAACGGGAGGAGTTGTTTATAATACAAAGTTCCACAAGAACATTGCATATCAATCATCAACAAGTGAAATAGGTTTATCATGGCATGGATTTGATGATCACAACTCTTTCATTAAAAAATATCATGTAGCTCTGACTGAAAAAGATGCAAATGAAACATTTAGTACCGTCGTCGATGCTAAAATTCACAATAGCTATATATTCCACGGATTATCGTTAGAGCATAATCGGATATACAAAGTTGCTTTGGTTGCATTTGATGCAGTGGGGCATTTTACTCGTTCAAGGTATGCACAAGACTTAAAAATCGATACCACACCACCGAAGGGTTTTTATTGCACTCAGATGCAGGCTATATCTATGACCAAAGTAAGCACAACGAAATCTGTGTTTCAGACAAAGATGTTTTACAGATATCGATATCAGATGTCTGCTAATTTAAAGGCTGGAGAGATTTATCAATTGTCCGTCAAAGCTGATGCTTCAATGTCGTCAAAAAGTATTCATGTACTTATTGGAGGAGAGATGGAGATGTTAAATTTGTTTCATAGTACTGATGAAGTTTTATATGCAGAGCATACGTTTATATCCAAATATACTGACATCACTTATATTTCAGTTTTTCTCACTTCCAAGAATACGAAGAGTATGATCGTCACAAACTTGCATCAGTGTCTCTCGTATGAGCCAACGTTGAAGCCGTTTTCTCTTGCACAGGTACTACCAAACTATGTAAGTGTTTCACTACATATTCAAGACATAGAAAGTGGAATAAAATCCATATACCTTGGGATTGGAACAACAAGAATGGGATATCAAGTAAGGCCATTACTTCCATTTTCGACAGGATTTCAAGAAATTGTAAGAACTGATGTTCAACATAACAGCAGTCTTTATTTTATCGCCGTGGTTGAAAATAATGCTGGCCTTAAATCAACATTTCATTCAAAGCCTCTTTTAATTGATCATTCGAAGCCGGAGATCCATAATATAAAAAGCAATGTAACGTACCAAGAAATTTCCGTGTCCAATGAAAATAATACTGTTGAATTTAACAACACACCAGTAAGATTGAGAGAAAGAAGAACAAAGGCTACCGTTAATGTTACATGGCATGTCGTGGATAAAGAGAGTGGAATTCGTCGTTGTGAGTGTGGGGCTGGTAAGATATATATATTTAATTGCTGTGGTAAAATTTGGAAATTTATTCAAAAATTAAGGATTATCTCCCTCATGCATAGCTCTGATCCTTCGACATATTTGGCTCCAGTCTTCGGCACCCCCTTTTTCAGCTCTTCAAAGTTCTTTTTTTAATTTTAATATTTCGGATTTCCAACGTTTCGGCATCAGCATCACTGAAGAAACATAATTTGTCGAAATGCGCATCTGGTGCATCAAAATTGTACCGTATAAGATTCACGTTCAGTAGCTAAATCTTGTTCTTTTCTTTCAGGATTTTTTCCGTTCTCAGCATCCACAGTATCTTTAAGAAAGAGCGACACGGCCACGGGTTGTGTCTTTTCAAATCTTGAGATTCGACATGGAACACGATTGTTCATCACTACAGAATGTACTAATGGTGTTGGACTTCGAGAAACAAAAACACACGGTCCCATAATAATATCTATCAATTATCCAGACGATCAGGCAACAGAATTAAGTTTTATACCCAATAATGCAATATCAGTAAAACATGCTGAGCCAGTGATCTCAACTCAATCCAATAAGAATCGCATAACGTTTTCATGGAATGGGTTTTCAGATATCTCTGGTATCCGTGAGTATGAAACAAGACTTTGGAAGGAATCTAAAGTTATCTCATCATGGAGATCGGTTGGACTTAAAACTTACACTTCATTTGATATTCATGCAGTTGATGGCGATATATATAATGCTGAAGTGAAAGCAATAAATCATGGCGGACTATCGAGTTACGCAAAAAACAAAAGCATTACAGTAGATGCAAGAAGTCCACACTTGACAGGTAGGTATGCTTTGAAAGAGTGTAAATGTTAAAGGACTTATCGCATACTTTCAAATCTTTCAAATTATATTAATTTTAACTTCTCTGTATCAATAATAATTAAATCGGCTCATTTTAGTGCCGATAATTAACGAATATTTAGCAATATAGTAGTTTTAATTATACCTCTCCGCTCGCTCGATCTCCAGTGAATTAGGTAGGGATGTCATGTGGTACTGTGGCGTCATAGAAGGCGCTTCGATCAGCTGATTCCATACAGTAAGCGATTGATACTGTCAAACTTTATTGCAATGGACAACGAGTATGCCAATATTGATGATATTCCTGGTAATATTAACATTCAACCGTATATGTTTGAGCCACCTCCACGTCCGAATGTTCAGGAAAGCAGCGAGGAAAGCGATTATGGCGATGAGCATGATCATGGAGATGATCATGGAGATCGCCGACTAAACACTTTTTGTTCAGTATTTAAGTAGCATCGTTAATTCATTTTATAGTTTTCGTTACAATTTTGCATTGTTTAGTTAATATCTGCAAATATTTTATCTTATTTAACACAACGAACTTGGTTTATATATCGCTTAATTCAACAGTAAATGATCCGATATCTAAGAACTGTTGTAAAACTTGCGCATAACATGTCTTATCGCTTGTTTTCAATTCAACACATATTCTTACTTATTTTTAAACATTTAAAACAATATAAAAACAATGTCCGATTTATTTTTGATAAATACATAAGATCATATCAAATTTGCCAGCTATTTTGCTCCCCCTCAAATCGGGGAGGGGGGGGGTAAGAAATGGAAATCTGAAAAAGCTCAGGCCGGATTCCTTCCTCTGTCTACTGTTACACCCAAAGGCGACACAAAAAATGCATTATCACACTATTACCGATTGCTTTCACTAATCTGATAATTGGTTTTTAAACGGTTGTTTGCGGATAAGATAACAAGATGGCCATTGGCTATTTTCACCTTCTCGATCGAAAGGGGCTCCTCTGACGTCACAAGCAATGGCGCGGAAAATCGTAAGAAAAATATGCATATCGCGGAATTTGAATTTCGTTGTCCATAATCTTGCAAAATAAGCTTTGTTTTAATTTTAAATTATTTTGACTTTATTATTTAACATACATAGAAGTCATTTTCACAAAATTTTTAAACTCTACATGCATGCAATACGCCCTTTAATGATTTATTCTGTACGTGTGTATACAGATTCATATTTTGGAGCCATTGGTGCATTTTTGCGCTAAGGCCAAACAAAAAAATATGTTTGTTTACTGTTACATGCTGAAAAAAAATAGGGTCGGTAGGTAGGGATTTTTTTTTATTTTATTGAATTTTTTTATTTACAAATTCACATGAATTGGTTGAAATACTAGTGATGGGAATCGGTAAGAATTTCATAATCGATGATCGGGTAACTGTAACTAACTAAGTATCGATTATAATCGGACATTAACAAAGGCTATCAATTTAGTTAATTAAATGGTAAGAATGGGTAAATGACTACTTTCTGCATATGTATTTGTTGCTCATTTTGCTGAAAAAGAATAAAAGGATATCATCTGAGTGTTATATTGAGTGTGTATCTGTTTTTCTTTAATTTTTCGTCATATGCTGTACAGATATAAAACTTACGTCCATACCCGGGAACATGTTTTGTTTCCCGGGTATGGATACAATTGTCTGTTCGTCTGCACCATTGTGAACTGTGATACACAAACAAGTTCATAGATAAGTTTTGGCTGGGATATTTGGTTCAAAAACTATTACGCTTGTTAAAAAAATAATAAACCGATTAATCAGAATAAAAATTTTGTAATCAAGCGCTTGGATTATACCAGCAATCAACTGATTTTCGATTATAATCGATGATCGGAACACCACTATGAAATACAAAACAGTTTTACCATTGTGTGATGCTTTACTTTTGTTTGGGCTTGCCATATTGGCAATAGACAATATCTTTCTTGCCAACTGACTTACAGCTACCACACAATGGTAAAACTGTTTTGTATTTCTTCTTTAAAGGTGCTTGGACACAGATTTGAAGTTAATATTTTCTCAGATTTTCTGTATAATTTCATGACTTATATGTTGCTTTAGCATTTCATACTAAAATGTAATAAAAATCTTATTTCATCTCGAAGTTGTTGAAACTTCAAATTTCTGGACGCGTTTGATTGACACATCCTTGCACTTTCACAATTTTCAATTTTATTCTTAATACTTAAGAAAAGTGGCAGTTTTGTTGTGTATTAACGAAAAGTATTAAAACTATAATCCGGAAAATTCAGAGTAGAAATGTTCGAAAGCAAAACCCATTCACAGTATTGTCAGTCCGTGCTCAGTGGTGTGTGCAGACTTTAACAATTGAACACACCCGGTGAATCGTAAACATTAACAATAACAGAGCTCGTGCCTTGTTTACAGAAACAGTTTACGTTTCACGGGTGTATTCAATTTCTTAAACTCTGTACACAACACTGAGCACGGGCTGACGATGTTAGTGAGGGGGTTTGCTTTCGCACATTTCTACTCTGAATTTTCTGGATTATAGATGTAATGTTTTTCATTAATACAAAACAAAATCGCTTCTTTTCTTAAATATTAAGGATAAAGATAAAATTTGTGAAAGTGCAAACGCGTCCAGGAATTCGTAGTTCCAATAATTTCCAGATAAAATAAGTTTTTAATTATATTTTCGTGTGAAATGCTATTGCAATGTATAAGTCGTGATATTATACAGAAATTTTGAGAAAATATTAACTTCAAATCTGTGTCTAAGCACCTTTAAATCTTCTTAAATAATTGTATACCATTAATAATTCATGCATAGCGGGAAGCATAGCGGCAATGTTTGATGCATGGCGGGAGATCTTGAATGAATGTCGGTATCGCCATGCAAAAACGGCCTTGGGAAAAAATTATAATAATTTAATCGAAAATACTAGGAATAGTCTATTTCTAGTACTTTCGATTTCAAACCGTTGACCGAATAAGATGCATGTAAAAGTTAAACTGACCAGTGAGTGACTTCTGGATTTTTACGACCAAAAAAAAAAATTGGGTCGGCGATTAAATATAGGGTCGGTCGGGTAACCGTAAACAAACATATTTTTTTGTTACGCCTAATGCATCAATAACATCTAAATATTATTTTTAGCTAAATATAAGGCATAAAAATACTGAACAATTATACCAAACAATGGCTTACCTTTGATTGTGCTAAATTTTATATATTAGTGTATATGAAGGTATTTTTAAACAAATAAAAACTTTTATAATTTCTATATTTATCATATCTTTTCTTTAATCTTTTGATAAAAGACTCAACAGACTCAAAAGACAAAACAAGGAGTATCAGTAAATTAACTAGTAGGTTAACTAAGTTACTAGATCTTATTGCATTTTCACTTCTTCATGTAGGTGAGAGCTTGGTAGTGAGGAAAATATCAACAGGCAAATACATACTCGATTGGTCGAACGTCTTTGAGGACACTGCGAAAGGTTCAACTGCATTTATCGTCTCCGTCGGAACTAACAGAGGATATTCGGATTTACAGTCCCCAACTTACACACTGCAGCATTCGATATCTGTGAACACAGACACTGTGTCTGTTATCTATATTAATGTAAGGGGTATTAGTCCAACAGGAGAATCGCAGATTTATCACATGGCGTATGCCACAAAATGAATTAAAAAGGCTTTGCATATAATGAAACATTTGATAAAATTCTATACTAATTTCATACTATGATTCATTACGTTCGAAATTGCTCTTAAATTTTATCCAGTGATCTTAAAAGATATTTGGTCAATGTGTTAATTTTAAATGTGTAATAATTTCGAATTCAGTTACATACATGGTTCATCAGTCTTGGTTTTATGCTTTAAATATCTATATATGTATATAGTTTTTTTTTATGAATGGTTCACATCCCAAACAATGGTTCTATAACGATAATTAGGATAATCTGATTAATTTAAAAGAAACAAAACTTAGGGTTCATGAATAGGAAGTAACATTTGTGCTCTTAGTGATTTATGATGTTTTTCGTATATTTTGGAAAGATGTAGGCAATGTACAGATCTTAAAGTTATTGATTTAAAATTCCGTCCAATTCAGTTTTACACATTTTTGTTTTGTATTACAACAAAGTTATTTTATTTAGATTAGCATTGTTTTATTCAAGCAATGTGTTTAAATATCCAAGTGTATGTTATTTTGATTTGTGTCATGATTGCTGAATGTATAAAGATATATTGATTTGTAGTGTATATTCATTTAATATAAAAGTTTCTATCCAATATATTCAGTTCTGTTTATTTTCACAGTAGCCGGCCCGAATTGTTGTCTTCTTACTTACAAAAGTTTTCTAAATAGTGAAGGATAGATCAAAAAGTAAAAAAGATGTTGGTCGTGACAAGTCCTTGCAAAGTATTCGGAATTAATTAATGCTGCTTGAATTAACTAAGGAATGTTTTAAAGTCTTCTGTGAGTTATTGATGTGAAAATCACACAGAGATGTCACTTACACTGTAGGTATATTTCTGCAAATCTGTGTGATTTACACATCAATAATTCACACTAAATTTTAAAACATTCCTTATATTTTCATTTAACATGTTTAAAAGCACAAAATATACTCTGAATTTCTCACTGTAAAAAAAGCCTTCTCGTGTGACTTGAAGTAAAAAAAATTCTTTCTCTAAATCCTGTTACATTCATGTTTGCAATTCTATGCTCATACAATAACAAAGCTTTTAATAACAGAATTCATTAGTAGTGATTAGGATTACTTTGGAATCAATTTAAATCACGGGAGCCGATGTTCGTGGGCAACCAAATTGTGTGGACATAATATCGTGGGTAATCTGTACACGTATATAAAGGAGATTCAACCAATACATAGACAAAGAATTGTTCGTTGGAATGTGTGAATTTGTGGGTAAGAGTGACCTATGAAATCCCACAAAAATTGGTCCTCCACGAACGATAATGATTCCACAATATTGTATTTTGTGATCAAGCATAATTATTTCAGTAGCACATGCCTACCTTCACGAGTCAGTACAATTCTACGGATCTTTAATTAGTTTTTGTAGCATTTATTAAGACTTTTAAATAAGTAGAGATATATAAACAATTCTCTGGCGAATTAAATTCAACATTTTAAACGCATTCCTTCAGGATTTCTGTCTTGCAACTGAGTTTTTTTCCCGAGCTCTCAAGTGCTCTTTAATAAGCTGTTTTACTGGAAAGATAATACAATGAAATAAGGTAAAAGAAATGTTGTGTAATTGGTGGAACTAGCTCGATCAATTTGATGTTAGAATAATAATGGTTCAATTGCTATATAAGAAGTTCATAGGTCAATGTAGCTACAGATCAATAATTCAAATTCAGACAGCTATACCAGAGTATGGATAGGAACCTTTTTATGATATATTTGCGTAATCCACATTATTAAGATTCGAAAAAATACTTAAACATTCTATATTAAAAGAATCTTACCCTATAGATTTGATCAGTTCAGAGATTGGTTTTGAAAATATTCTCAGATGAGTATACTTCTCAAGACTTAAGAATAATTTTGGAGAATTCTCAGTTTTACGGCAATAAGGCCAGAAAGTTGATTTGAGTGGATAAAAATGTTAATTTACTGTGAAAATTGAGAATGCTCAGTGTCTACGCACAAATTAATTTCAAACATATTCTGAAGGAGCCAGAAGACAGTTTTTTTTAATGAAAACAAAATTTTTGTCTGAAGTTTTCCTTGGTATTTTTTTTTAATTTTAAATTCTCTCTACATGTAACAATAGCATGTTCTACTCACTTGAGGAATTTGAAGCTTTAAGGTATAAAACATGTACATTTTATTTATATATTGAGCCCAAATGATGGCATAGGGATAGTCACAAAAATTCATGAAAATTTAGCCTATTTTTACTATTTCACAAGATCCGCAACAGCTTCCAGCTGGCCAGTGGTAGTGCTACCACAAAGAATGCAAGTCAACGCCTGTACATACCACTAAACAGCAAGAGAAGAGCTAAGGATATTGGGTCAACTACCTTCCTTCCAAAATACAATTCATTCTATAAACCCGTCCCGCTTTTCTGAGGAAATCCCGGATTCTTGACTTTAGTTTCGTATTTTCATTCCATATCCCATCAACAGTAGTGTGACACTAAAGTGTCATATATAATAAAATTCACACGGCCATAATTTCCCTCCATATGCACACATAAAGTATTCTAGAAATAAATTAAAAGCACCTGAAATATACATTCAAACCTTAGGTTTTCCCATTTTGTTTAATTTGAGACGGTACCATCGAAAGTATCCGAGACTATCATCTGCTGCCGAAGAAATCAACACCCATTTCTTCAGGATTCACAAACATGAGATAAGTCCTTTAAGAATCCTTTATATTAAAATCCATTTTAGATGTTTGAAGAGTTGCAGAGGGCCTGATAAAATGTCATCAAGATGATAATTCATTTCATCACTAAAACATTAATATACAATGTAGAACCAAGTTCTAATAGACAAACATGGGGGATGCTTGTCCCGGTAACTTTACAAACGATGAATAGAGAAGAAAGAAGTGGTTATATTATGTAGCGGCAGACTTTTAGAATACTTAATTAAAGATGTATTCCAAACTTTAAAGATAAGTCATACACTGTATCTCGTTAACATATTGAATCTCAGAATTCAAAATAGATGATATTTTGGGTTCTTCCACTCCACAGTACATTTTTAAAAAGTATGAAAAGAATTACTCATTAAGTGAAAGTAATACCGGTGTGTTCAAATTTCTATTCTTCCTGATATACTTTATTCTCGGAAATAAAATATACAACATGGCTATCTATCTTTCATGTTGTATATTTTATTTGCTCAAATAAAATATATCAAGAAGGACACTTCGCTCGTTACCATCAATATTCATAACAAACATTCAGGCAAGTAATAATATATAATATTATACTTTCATGTAACTTAGTTGAATCTGATTTGTCGAGAAACATTTGTTAAAAAACACTATTTCCCGCTGAATGATGAAGCCACGCTCTCCAAGGTAGCAACAGTCAGCATTGCTTGACGACAGGTGATATTATATTCCAAAAAATAGTGACTGCGCAGAATTTATACGCGCTAGGTTCACTGGTATATGTATTTGTATAAAACATTTAGTACAGTATAATAAATATTGCATGTAGTTGAGTGTAGCATTGAAAATTTTCACCCTCGAAAACCATAGTCAACCTCGGCTGCGCCTAGGTTGGCAATGGTTTTCTTGGGGTGAAAATTTTCAACGTTACACTCAACTACATGCAATATTTATATAATGTATTCCGTAAGAAACCTTCTACTTTTGAAAACGAACGGCCTATCCTATGTTTTGATGCAATGGCAACTTGCGTTTTGCGTTTTAATTTGAAATCATTAACTTTTGTTCATTTTTTTCATTCTAACGAGTCACCCTTTTCATTTTTTTTAAATACAAAACCCTGTCTTTGATGTTATGCTACATGTACATGTATATATAAATAAATTTTACTCGACTCTCTTATTTGAGATCATAGTATACAATAATTTCGCAAACTATTTTTCAATATGGGTGCCACAAAGAAAACAATAAAATGAATATACTCATAAGCCAAGTTAAATCTGGCGACAATTCATAAATATTCGATATTTCAATACCGAGAGACAGCGACGGCTAGAATGGAAACAAAAATCATGTGGCTTGTGACAATTCTTTGCTAATATTAGATAATAATCTTGAATAACTGTATGAAAATATAAAAAAAAAAAAATAAAAATGAACTTACTATTTATTTTAGACACTTATTACATGTAAGTTTAGTCACAGAAAATAGTACATAGTAAACAATAGCTTTATTAAGTTACTGTCAACTACAATAATAAGCCAATTATCATTACAAAAAACACCATGAATGAATTAATAAATACATGTAATAGGTCAACAAGGTCCATATCCATTTCATTTGTATTCTACTTATACAAACCTTTAAATTATATATCCAGTTTTATTCTTCATTTATGCACATCAAAATCGAAAAATAAAATAAAGTACAATTTTCCACCTTCCAATGGATAGTTCTAAAATATTATATGATCAAATCAATAGCTTCATTTTACTATCTGCTTTTTCTCCTAGTATTCTAGAATTCTTCTGAATTTGAGGACTAAGTAGGCGAAAGCGGGCGTCAGCATAAGATTTATACAATTTTGAAAGAGTTGTCATGCATTTCATTTTATTTTCGAACTCTAGATAACAAAGGAACTTTAGGAAATAAGCGTATGATTTATCATACATTACAAATTCAGCTATGATGCATCCATTGACCTCATTTTCAAGAAGACTTGGAAGGAAGCAACTATTTCTATAGAGATCCACTGAATGTGAATAGTAATTTTTTAATAAATCAGAAAAGCTAACTGAACTCTTGGCTAAATCTTTTAACAGAGCATTGCTGTATGAGATACAAAACAGAATACTGTCGGGTATTTTCGCGAGAACACCAGATATAACCTTTATTGCATGTCTACATTTCCTTTGACAGTAATATAAAGTAGCTAAATAGAGCGCTCCGGATGCGTTGGAATATCTTGCTAAAGAGAAAGCCGCCTCCGATGACAAAAGGTATTCGTATATTCTAGTAAGTACAAATTTTTCATACAAAATGACTCCGGCTCTTCTCATAACGATTAAAAAAAGATAAATTAGGATTGCTTTTTTTATATCACTTTTCTCATTTTGTAAAGCATTGATGATATTCAAAATGGATAACATGCATTCATGATATGTTGTCTGATGTCCTTTTACAGTAATTAATACGCGAGATAATGTCATTAGCTTTTTAAATTTTCGCGAAGCATTTGGTACCAAACTTAAAATATTTCCCATGGACAACGGTTTTATCATACATACCAGATCAAGGGGTTTATATTTTAGAACTTTGAGAAGCCTCTCCTCAATTCGGTGCCTTTTTTCCATAAATCCAGATTTCAAAAAGAGATTACTGTCTGGTATGAAATAATTTGGACACGCGCCTTTTTTTACGTATAACAAAAGTCGTGATATGCATATCATAAAGCACCGGAATATATTACTAGGAATCCAAAAATCGGCATGGATATCTTCTAATACATGAAACAGAACTGTCTTCAAATGGTATGAACACAGTGTGTCATATGTTTCTATGCACAACTTAATCTCGTGATGAATAACAATTTTCAGAAGACCATAACAACAAAACTGAACGTGATTTAATGATCGGACGATATGCTTTTCGAGAATTGAAAAGGATTTCAGCCAATGAATACCTTTATCATCTTTCATAGGACCTTTAGGGACAAAATGCACGACAGTAATTTTGTTTTGCTTCAGGATTTCCTCTTTTACATTGTTCCAGAAGTTCGTCTTGAAGTTCCTCAAAATCCGATTTGAAGAAATAGGACTGATAGGTAAACCATAACACATATCGTGTCCTTGTGGAAAATTTGTACTAATACATGGTCCATGACTTCTGCTATCGAAATTTTTATTGATACAGTAATTTAATCTATCTTGTAAAATTTTGATTCTAGAAAGACAAAATGTATCAACATTCAAGTTTGTAGCACGTAAATTAACTTAATGATACGGTAATAGCTTGTTAAAGCCTGGTCGACAGCCGTTATCAATAGCAATATATTTACACAGTTGGTTAACAACATCTTTCACGTCAAGAACAACATTCATTGTTAACTCTGAAATCATTACATCAAGGTCATTCCAATAAAACAGAAAACCTTCGCATCGACCTCCAGTAATATATTCATGATGTAGTGGCGAAACACATTTCATCTTGGGGTATAGATCGTAGATGACTCGTCGTATTTGAATATCATCTGGTGTACCCACTGCAAGATCTATACATTCCCACATTTCCCGAATAGGATTTTCCGGGAAATTTTGTGGACCTGTAAAAAGTTTAGAGATATTACGCTGGCATATTTCTGCCCCTATATGCAAGATAAATAATATCAACATGCAAGAAAAGTATGTCAACATGCAAGATAATTATGTCGACATGCAAGTTACCAATCATATTAGAGACTCTGATTTAAATATAGGTAAATTTACATACTTACGCCAGTATCTGACATTATACATCCATGATGCAACAAAATTACGTTAACATGCGAATTAAGTCAGCATGCAAGATAATTAAATATAGAAATGCAACTTATTTATGCCAATATGCGAGATAATTATACAGACATGTGACTTATTTATGTCAATATGCGAGATAAAAATATAGACCTGCGACTTATTTAGGTCAACATCCGAGACAATATGTTGAGATGCGAGTTAATTATGTCAACATGCCAGATATTTATGTTGAAATGCGACTTACTATCTTGCATGTTGAAATTAATAAGTTGCATATAAACATAATTATCTTGCATGTTGACATAAATATCTTGCATGTTAACATATAACTCGCTTGTCAACATTAGTATGTTGCATGTCAACTTGATTAACTCGCATGTCAACATAAATAATTTGGATGTCGACATAAATTATCTTGCATGTAGACATAATTATCTTGCATGTAGATATAATTATCTTGCATGTAGACATAGTTATCTTGCATGTTTACATACTTTTCTTCTTTTTTTGCATGAAGGGGGCTGTTACGGTACATGTTCTGTGCAGAATGTCGTCGGCGACCATGATAATACCTACCCTCACTGCACATATTGTCGTCTATCGGTACATATAGTCGCCGGCGACAATATGTGCCGAGACGTGCCCTTTTTTCCCTCCTGTATAATGGACGACAAAATGTTCAGTCATGCATCGGCACATATTTTCGTCGATGACTTTATGTACAGTGAACATTTACACATTTTGTCGCCAATATATTGTGTTGAAGAATATTGAATATGGTTGTGAGGAGAGAGAGAGAGAGATTGATACACACAGGGAGAGACAGACAGACAGAAAGACAGACAAAAGGATAAACAAAATGTCTGGCAAATAAATAAGTAAACAATTTGTATTAATTTATATAGCATTACTCGTAATACTTTAGGGAGAAAAGGTTTTGGTCAGAAAATTGTGTTAAGGATTGGTGTACACCACTATGATATGGCAAGATACCGTAATTCCTGATATAGCTGATAAACCAACCTTTTCTTTTTTTCTTGATATATATACTTGGAGATTGAATGTTATTTTTTTTTTTGTTCAGTATTAACGATTATCTGGAAAATATTTTTGCGTTATTCTTATACATGTGCCGATATAATTGGGGTCGGGGTTGACATTTTTTGCTCACCTGAGTTGAAAACTCAAGTGAGCTTTTCTGATCACATCTTGTCTGTCGTCCGTTTGATCGTCCGTCTGTAAACCTTCACATTTTCAGATTCTTCTCAAGAACTACTGGGCCATTTTCAACCATACTTACCTTAAAGCATTCGTGAAAAAAGGGGATTAAAGTTTCTTCAAATGAAGGACCATGCCCTCTATCAAGGGAAGATAATTAAGAATTGGTGAACATTTTTGACATCTTTAAAAAAAACTGCGCCAGAAAGTTGAAACTTATGTGAAAGCATCATTATAATGTGTACATTCAATTTTGTTTAGACCATGACCCACGGGGGAAGGGTGGGGCTACAATAAGTGATCACAGTTTTACATATGGGGAAAAAAATCTTTCAAATCTTCTTCTCAAGAACTTTAGGGCTAGAAGAGTTGATACTTATGTGAAAGCTTCATTACATAGTGTACTTTCAAGTTAGTTCAAATCATGACCCCCGTTTAGGATGGGGCCTTAATGGGCGATCAAAGTTTTACATAGGAATATATGCAGAAAATCTATAAAAAATCTTCTAAAGAAAATCAAGCCTGTGATTAGTTATGTTTATATTAAAGCATCCTAAGGTAGTGTAGATTCAAGTTTCTTCAAATCATGACCCCTGGGCTAGGGTGGGCTACTATGAGGAATATGTAGGAAAATTCTTTAAAAACTTCTTCTCAAGAACAGAAGCAATGATTAGTCCTAATTATAGGGAATTATGTTATGTATTGTAAAGCGACATGTTCCGTTGAACGACAATATGTGCAGTGAGCGTAGGTACACATTGCCGCAGGCAACAATACAGTCAGGACGACGATATTTACCGTCACAATGGCACTGCATGAAATAGTATACGAGACACGTAAGTGTGATTTACACATCGATTACATTCACAAAACTACAGAAAAAAACTTCAAGTAATCTTTAAATTAATTTCTGTCTGACGACAATATGTGCAGTGAGGGTAGGCAAAGTAACCAGCCACAATATGTACATTTATAACTTTTCACTCGGCGAAAATAGGTACCGCTGGACGACAGTATGTGCAGTGAGGGTAGGTACATGTTGTCCCGATGACAATATATACAAAACAACAATATATAGGGCCACAGGGGCAGAAATATGTCACCATAATATAGAATACCCAGCATTGAAACACGTTTTCACTTTTTCTCTTATGTTAATCCAATAACTACAATAACTCTCAATTTTCTACTCCTTATTTTGTAAGTCATGAAATCAATAAACTGATAATAAAGGAAGGTAAGTGCACTATTGAGTTTTTTTTTATAAATTTATTTTTTCTTTCTTTGGTTAACGACCAAAAACTCAGGATATTAAGTTACTCTTTTTAATGGTTATTATTCAAAATCTTTATCATAAACTTACTTTCTCTTGCCTTTTTAATATATTCGATCAGTGCATATTATCTATTCAAGATATATTACTAAAGTCAGGTACTCTTCACACAATTGCTCCGAAGAAAATAGTTCCATTCATGATCAGTAGATACAACATTACAACAAATGTTAAGAATAATGATGTGTATTCAATACGTTAAAGAAAACAAAATTAACGTAAAAAGATTTTAAGAAAATCACTTTTCCCCAGAAAAGGAAATAAAAAGTTTTCATATTCCTACGCTCGCTGCCTCCTCAGTCTTTTTCACGAAAATATATAGGTCATCCTTCGATTGATAGTGATAAATTTTTTCACCAATTATATAACTGTCATGATTATTGTTCGTTAATTGCCGTATATTTTCTTTTGAGTGAGAATATTAATCATTAACTGTGTGTGTGTATTTTCTCTTTTTTTAAATAACGGAATGGTTATTATGTGGTTAAACACCTGCAATCGTAACTTCTCGGCAAAGCAACGTGATTTGCCGTGATTTGCCGAGCTCGTCTGAAAGGATCTTCGCACGTGTGTAAACCTAGTCTATTTGGTCTTGCAAGCACAGGTATGTGCACCGTTCGCTAGTGACGCTTAGATCATGTAGACTGGGTATCAGTATTTGCTACGGACATGAAGAAGAACTATCCATCAGTTTCATAACAAGTGCAGGTTTTTTACTCAAGCCCTAGACTGGGCTAGAGGGGCTGAGTTACCTAAAACGATGCTAGGTCATTGGTCTATTCAGTTTAAAAACACGAAAATATACTATTTTTGTAAATAAAAACATTTCTAGAAACAAAAATGAAGTCTATCTTCAAAACGTCTCTATATTCAAAATCTATATAAAGTGTTAAATGTCGGATTTTATTCTTTGACGAAGGAGTGATGCTCCACCGCCGCAACCGATCTCGCGCTTTCCTTTGCGTTTAACAATGGCCGTCAATGTATCTCTAAACAAGTTCATTGATTACTCTTGTTGACCCATCTTTAACATCTGCCTATACTTTGAGTGATAGTACTTTAATAGCACAAAATTAAAAAATAAATTAAAATCTATCCTTGATAGATCTATAGTTTTGCTATATAAAAAATTGGGCTATCTTTGATCTTTGCTTGGACTTGTTTCGAATTTTTACAGAAGATTCTATCATTGGAAAGTTAGATGGTACACATGTAGCACAGGCCCATAGTACGCGGGATTTTTTCGGAGCCCCCCCCCTTCACTTTGAAAACGTTGCCTGTAACATGCTATTTGGATTAAATATTCCTGAAAATGAGTGAGCTGTTAAATACATCTTTAAAATTATATGGTTAATTATATTTAGTCTATATTCTATGTGAAATTAAAACTATTTCTATAAGCATCTGCAACGTTGTGATAATAAAAGTCACAAATCGCATGTATCGTTATATTATATACATGTATGTACATGCAGTTTCCTTAGTACATGCATATTTTATTCAACAAAAGATGTTGAAACTCAGTAGCCTAAATATTATGTCATTTTAGGTTATTTATGGCCATTGTATAGTTGACTTTCTACAGCTTGAGTATCTCTGACGTTTTATCAGTAAATAGTTTTTTTTTTTAAATTAGAAATCATCTGAGCACAATGAAAATTCGAATAAATTAAAAGTCGAATATCTTGGATATGGGGTAACCCATATCTATTCTTGTTATAAATCCACTGGAATAATCTGTATAAAGCCATGTCAGTAAAGCGTGTATTATTTCGATCTTCCATTTGTCTACTAATAGCTCAGATGCAGTTCTTAGCACTGCCAATTTCGTTCAAACATTTCCATTTACATGCTACGAAATATCAACGCAAGCGCAGAAATTCATAGTCAAGCAATGAAGAAAATTGAGCAAACCCTTTAAATGGCGTGAAAAATTTATCGATATACAAATGAACTCAAACACAATTAAGCATTATAGCAAAGTTTACCTTTATATTGGAGGTTCAAAGTGGTAAATGTCTTAAAATCGTTTTTGCTTCTTGAAGACTAAAATCAGAAAAAATATAAAAGTTTTAATTGTTATAGTCTTGAAAGCAGAGTCTGCTGAATGATTAAGCAAAAAGTTGTTATATACTTTATTCGATTGTTTTTAACATAACTAAATTCAATCCTTTTCATGTTTATTTTCAATAAAGTGTGTCTAGTTTATCGCTGGCTAATG